AACGACAAAGGACTGGAAGTCCATTAAACTCCTTTCAAAATATGAGTGCATGAATCGGCTCGGTTTCCTACAGCTACTATGCCATTTTCGGCACTTTAATTATTATTGCTTTCCTTTGAACTTCCTATTCTAATGAAACTTGGCTGGTTTATCTCGTTGGTCCCTCATTACATCATATCAAAATTTCCTTGTATTGGGGAAACTTTACCTAGCCAGTTCAGAATATGCAGTTATTTGGCCCTCAGAATCAAATTTTGCTTTCATGGTTCTCCGTTCTACAAATATCAGTTAATCTTGCTTAGATGTGAACATAGAACATAATTCAGTGGGGTTTTGGATGTGCAGTTAGCTACCCACACAAAAATGACGCAAAGGTTCCTGGATTCGCCAACTATTTATATATATTTATATGTGAATATATATGCTCAGTTATACAGCATACGAAGACGTACCCGTCGCCCCTGTCTCTGATACTCTGTTTCTCATATTCTTTTATGTACGGCTCTCTTCTGAATATATGAGATATGAACTTCTCATCATATTTTATAGTTAGTTGCTATTATTCCTCATTGCATTTCAAGCGATGCAATTCAATTTTTTTTACTTTATTCCATTTACCTGCTCATTTTATCACTGCTTATTTTTTTCGTTCCTTTTCTAATCTACCTACGCCACTAGGATTTTCCTCTAATATTGTTGTACCTGGACTAGATGCTGACGGTTTTCCTCCCGTTGGGGCTCTCCTGAACCCGGGACTGAGTCCCCTTTACGCCTACACGCAAGTGACAACTAAACGTTTAACTGTGGTCAAGTACGAGGGTGGCGAGCAGATTGCATACGTTGACTCTATCTCACTTAACGGCTCATGGTATCAGGTGTGCCGAGTCTTCCTTGACAGCGATAGACTATCTTTAAAAATAACTTCCTACAGCCTCATTCTGGACCTTGGCTTAGATGTTGTGATGGTGCTTCTATGTCCGGATGAGGTTATCTAAGCAAGCTTTTTTGGGCTTTACTTCTCAATTAGCGCTGGTCGTTTGTATTTTATGCAAAAGATGTTTTCCCTTACAATAAATGTAAAAAACTAAAGGGGTTTTCGATATTATGGCAAATATGAACCTCGAAATACCGTAGTTTTTTGGCCTTGTTTTCGCACTTTGGTCATATTGGCAAGAGGACCTAGAGGAACGCATCTTTTCCGGAGTCCATAGTATGCATGATAATTATATCGTTCAAGTTCTAAAATAATTCCTATTTGATGGAATATCATATTAATGACGCAGCCTATTTTAATAAATAGTCATTACTTAAGTAATAATTTCCTTTTCTTTTCATACACATTGATTTCACCACTTGCATCCCACATTATATTCTATTATTCTATATTCCCCTCAGGACTAGAATGGGTGGATAAAGCAGATACTTGCTTTGATCAGACTATGACCTTATTCCGTTAAACTATCCCTCTTCATATGAATTGTGTTCATCCTATTTCGTTTAAGGTGATTAAGGTTTGATAGTTGAATTTTCCCACAATGATATGAGTAGAGCTGACGCTTCCATTGAATTTCACATAGTTTTGCTTTCCCCAAAGATGTTCTCATCCAGGATGGACTTTAGTTTTGACTTCATCTAGGTCTTGTCAACGCCCTCAACGGGAGTCGAACCATCTACATTCATGGACGTTTTGCGTTTACTTCGGATTCATCGTCATCATGGTTGTCTAGAGTAATCTTTTAATAGTTGTTTGTGTGTACTATTAGATAAGGTGTGGAGGGTAGTGCATTTGATGCTGAATTTGATTTTTTTGGTATAAAAGGACTTTACTAGTAGCTTTTGTCACTAGGTCGTTTAAACTGATGAAGGACTGTTAGTGAGATAAGTATACCTCACGTTGTTACTAAATCTCTCTTAACCTTACTTCCCAAAGGGTATTTTGGTCCAGTCTTTAATGCAGTTTTGACCTCGCATCACTGTCACCAATGGTAATCGCCATGTTACTGCTGCCTCACGCTTCCACGAGTGCCATTTAGTTGGAGGACAGTAGTGCATTTTAAGGCATATTAGGCCTCTCATATCACGTTTTTTTCATATATTCGGTTAGTAACTAGCATAACAATGTGTTCGACGTCCTTTTTAATGACCTTTTGTTTTTCCTGGAGTTTAACAGCCTTAAAAGTTGCACAGGAATCAAAACTTTTTTATAGCCTTCTCCCAAATCTCAAATAT